GGGAAAGTTGAGTCTCCCACTAGTATACTTTTATTATCTATTTCCTCTTGTAACTCATTCAACTTCAAAAATTTAGATGCTATACCATTTGGTGCATATGTGTTTAGTATTGCTATAACTTCATTGTCTATGGTATCTTTCAGCAAGATATAGTTTCCTTCTTTATCTCGTTTAATTTGATCTATTTTTGCTTTTTCTTTGTCTGAGATCATGATTGCTACCTCTGCTTTTTTTTTCCCCCTTCTGCTGAAGTGTAATAGATTTTGCTCCATCCCCTTACCTTTACCCTGTGTGTATCTCTGTTGCAAAAACAACATATTGTAGGATTCTAGTTTTTAATCTATTATGCTATGCAGTTCCATTTTATGTGTGAGTTCATCCCACTCACATTTATAGTTGTGATAGCTGTGTATTTCCCTCCATGCTATTTTTCGCTTATCCCTCCCTCTCTCTTATCTCCCACCCTTTTCTTCCTCACAAATGTTTTGCTTCTGATCACCACCTTCCCCAATATATCCTCCCTTTTTTCAGCCCCTCCTCTACCTTCTATTATCCCCATTCCTTTTTATTTCCTTGTAGGGTAAGATAGATTTCTGTATACAACTGAGTGTGTATGTTATTCCCTCTTTGAGCCAATTTTTCTTCTACTTCTCCATTTTGCTTTTTAAAATCCTTTTTAAGCTCTTCCGGGAATTCTTTTTGGGCCTGAGACCAAATTACATTTTTCTTTGAGGCTTCACATGTAGCCATTTTCACACTATTGTCTTCTAAGTTTATGCCTTGATCCTATCACCACAGTAACTTTCTATAGTCAAGCTCTTCCCCCCCCCCCCATTTTTCCTGACTTTTTTGTGACTTGGTGTTTTTATGTGAGAGTTGGGCTCTGGTCCTGTGCTGTCCCAGGCTTTTTGTGCTGGGGCTCTGGATCTCACTGCTAGCTTTCGCTGGGCTTCAGGGCTTAGCTGCTTGCTTTCTCTGGATGAGAGGCTTCCCTTCTGGCTTGTACTGGTGGGATGGGGCCTCCCCTGGGTGTGGGATTTAGCTGCTGGCCTGCTCTAGGGGTGGGGTCCTGCTGCTGAGTTGCCATGGAAACAGGGTCTTTCTTCTGGTAAGTCCCAGGGGCAGGGTGTTGCTTCTTGGCCAGCCCCAGGGCAGGGCTTCAGTGCTGGTCAGCAATACTGGTCAGAAATGGGGTCAAGGCCTGGATGGTGGCTTGTGCTGGGGGTGGGGTCACTGGGGTAGGGCCCTGTTGAGCTGAAGGGACTGCTCAGTGCCTAGGGGGCTGCTGGTTTGCAGGAGGGCAGGGCCTCATTGGTGGATTGCTGCAGGCCAGGAGCCTTGCTGCAGGCCCCCTGCTGGGAGGCTGGCTGCTGCTTCTGCTCTAGGACCTGGTTTCCCTCTCACTCCAGTGAGACAGACCTTTCCTGGAGCTAGTCAGATGCTTCCCTGCTCCTAGATCAGTTCTCAGGTGGTTTTCTAGGTGTTTGGAGGGGAATTTGGGAGGGCTTCAGAGGACTCCTTCCTCACTCTGCATCTTGGGCCTTTTCTTAAGAAAAGCTCTTTAAGTACCTCCATCCCTGGGGCAGGGAGGGGGGTGCAGTGCCTGGGAGGTGGTTCAGGGGTAGACAAATTATCCCCAACTACTCTTTGTCTCTTTATCTTTCTTTTGGGTTCCTTGCTAGCAGGGATGACCCCAGTGGGGGAAGGTGGGTAGGGTGTATGATATATTTGGAAACGAAGTGATGTAAATGCAAAAGTCAGCAATAATTAAAGAAACAAAACCCAACAGGTGCTGTGCCTCTGGGAAGTATCATGGAAGCCCGGTTATCTCCAGTTACCCTGTGTGACTGCTTCTCGTCCTCACACTTCCCTTCCTTCCTCCCTTCCCACCCAGGTTTTCATCATTTGCCAATACCAAGAAAGTCAGGCTTAGGGGCTGACTGAACATTTTGAGTTGGCAGCTGTAATGACTGTTTTTAACTTTTGATTAACGTTTAACTCCTGAAGTTTACTGTATTTTGTGCTGAGAGCAGGCAGCCCTGCCAGTGCCAGATGTGGAGAAGGGCTACCTGCACCCCCAGGGCCCAGGCTGAGGCCTCCTGGAGAATAGGGCCAGGAGAGGGATGGGTCCTGGGGGCAAAGAGAGGGAGGGCTTTCCAAGCTCCCCTTCCCACTTCCCCTCCCATTTCAGGGACAATCTCCTTCATCCCAGAGTTCTCTTGACCAGTGGATTGAGGATTCTCCTTTCTCTTGACGTCAAGGGCTGAACCCTCCAACCACCTGTGAGGGTACTGTGGGCGGGGTACTCTGTGAGGTGGAACCTTGGCTTGGTCATTTGTAGTAAGAGAAGCTTGTCCTTCCCGGGGCTGTGGGGCTGCCCTGCCATGACTGTTGTCCCAGGTGGGCAAGGTAATCTTGACATGAGCACCGGGCAAGCCTGAGAATAGTGTGGGGCAGAGCGGCTGTGGCACTTCCCTCTCTCTCCCTTCTGTCCCCCACACTTTCCTTGGCTCTGGTCGTTGAAGGCAAGGGGGATCGCTGCCCAGCACGCCCGGTTGGGTAGATGAGAACCGAGAACACTGTCACATTGGTTTTAAGCAGGTGTCAGCTTGCCCAGAGCAGGGCTTTCTGGTTCCCACTGGCTCTGACTAGTTGAACTGCTTCTAAATGGTCCCCCCTGGTTCCAGGCTCTCCAGAGCTGCTTTGCCCAGGCCATACTGATTGGTTCTGACATCCTCCTGCCTGGAGAGCCAGCCAGACCCTGAGTGGTCCCTCAATGGCAGCTGTGTGCCCATCCGTGGATGGATGGCAGAGGAGTGAAGGCCCAGAGATGGTTGAAGCCGGTCCTTGCACCTAGAGCAACCTCTTGTCCTGAGTCATGGTGGTGGTGGCTGCTGCTTCAGGACCGAGAAGGCTGCTTCTTCCTGGGGCTGCTTAATGAGTTTCTGCCCAGCTCCTGCCCAGCCTTTCCAAAACCGGCCCCCATCTCCTAACACCTGGCGGAGAAGGACAGACCCTTTTAAAACCATTGCTCATGTTCTTCTGCCTGCTCTACTTATGAAGGTCCTGGTGGCCAGATCGAGCCGGGTGGTCCAGTGGACAGAGAATGGCGGCTTGTGGTCGGGGGACCCCGCCTGCAGCATGTACCAAGGTGGCATTGTATGAGGCATCTAGGGGGCGCCAGAGGGCATAGAGCGCTGGGCTCAGAGCTGTATGAGGCCACCGGGGGCACCAGAGAGCACAGAGCACAGGCCTGTGGTTGGAAGAGTGAGCTCAAACCCAGCGTGGCTTTACCAGCGTGGCTTTAACAAAGCGGAGCCTCAGCTTCTTCCTCTGTCAGATCCCTCCAGGGGTCCTCAGAGTGCCTGGACGCAGGGGATTTTGTTCTTCTCGGGCTGCTATCTCATTGCCCCTGCTGGCTACTGTAATCTACAGGAATCAGTCAGTGGGCCAACATGCATTTCTTCAGGGCTTTTGTGGGCCAAGAAGGTCTGGGTCTGGTGCTGGGGTTACAAAGACAGGAATTAAGCAACCTCTGCCCTCAAGGCTCTTACACTCTATCAGAGTCGATAATGTGTGGCTGTGGAGGGATATGAGGTCTGAGGTGATTGGCATCAGGAAAGGTCTCCTGTAGGTGGCACCTGAGCTGAGCTTTCAGTCCAAGAGGCAGGGGGAGGAGGGAGAGGGGAGGGGGGAGAGCATTCCAGGTGGGGGGCACAGCTTGTGCAAAGGCGTGGAGATAGGATTTGCAGTTGAGGAACAGCAAGAAGTCAGGCCTGGAGAACTCTGTTTTCTGGGCTCTGTATCTCCCCTAGAACCCAGGAAGATGCCTTGCCCCCAGCCAGCACTTAGCTGTTAACCCTAGAGGCAGGACAGGCCACTTTGGAGCAGCTAATTGTTGGGCAGTTCTTCTGTGTCCAGCCTCAGTTTCCCTCTCTCTTTTTTTTTTTTTGGCTAGGCAGTGAGGTTAAGTGACTTACCCAGGGTCACATAGCTAGTAAGTGTTAAAATATGTCTGAGGCCAGGTTTGAACTCAGGTCCTCCTGAATCCAGGGCCGGTGCTCTATCCACTGTGCCACCTAGCGGCCCCTCAGTTTCCCTCTTCAACCCCAACCCCTCCCCCGTGGCAGGGCCTAGGTCTGAGGCCAAGTCAGACAAATCTGAATCTTCATTCTCTTGCTGGATCTTCTTGACCTTCTCAGAGGCAGTGCTTGCCTGTTCTGTAGCCTGTGACCCTATCCTTGGCCTGGTTGTGGCTGCGATCCTCTGGACATGTGGTCAGGTTGTTGGCTGGGAGGTGTGCGTGCAGAGTACTGCGCTCCTGCCGCCTCAGCCCAATTTTGCATTAGCTGTGGTGGCTGCCGGGTAACACTGTGGGTGTAGCAAGATGCCCCCAAAGGTCCAGCCAGCTCCCATGGCTCTGCTGTGCTCAGAGGAGAGCAGAGGCTCCCAGGAAGCAGGCCGCAGGGGACAGGAGGTGTTTTCCATCTATGCTGATGAGGGCCTGCCCTCCCTGTCCTGGGCCTCTTTGTCCTCTCCTCATCCTGCACCGCCATGTTCTGCGCCTCCTTGTTCCTTCCTTATCCTTCCCCACTCCTGTCCACAGTACCAGGGACCATCCCAAGTTGGGGGACAAAAACAAAGGTATAGCATCCGTTCCTGGCCACGTGGCTTTCTAACAAAAAGCCCTCTAGTCAGGTCATGGATTGTGGGAGAGCCGAGAAAGACCATGTGTTAGGGCTGGGGAGACCTCCAAGCCCTTGTCTGGGGACTCGTGACCTAGAGGGTCAATGGGGAGCAGGCAGGACACGCCCTCCTGCCTTCCTGAGTGGCGTGTCCCTTATCGGGGTGGAGGTAGGGCCCTGTGGGTGCATGGGAGGCAGGTTCTGGGAGCTCTCTGTTCCCTCCCCTAGCGTCTGTAGACCCTATGACCTGCGTTCATCCTGCCTTCTGGTGAGATGCTGCTTGGGTCTGACTGCTTCTTTCTTTTTGCTTTCCAGCCAGACAACTTACAGAAGAACTGGCTTCGCGAATTTTACCAGGTAAGCAGACATCTCCTGGTTCATCCTCCACCCTCTGGGGTAGGGGTTGTTGTATTCTTCACTCTTGCCTGCCTGGCGCTTAAAGACTTGTTTAATTGAGACAGTTGGGGGTTAAGTGACTTGCCCAGAGTCACACAGCTAGGAAGTATTATGTGTCTGAGGCCAGATTTGAACTCAGGTCCTCCTGACTCCAGGGCCAGTGCTCCATCCACCACACCACCTAGGTGGCCCTTGCTTAATGACTTCTTGTGGGTGATTTGGTTTGGCTATTCGCCAAGGGATGGGCACCGCTTTGTTTCCCATTCTTGGCTGTGACAGAATCCCAGTATGAGTATTTATTTTCAGGTATGTTTGCCCCCTTTTTATTTTCCTGTCTTTGAGCTAATTGGGGCAAATGCCCAGTTTGGTAAATCAAGGGAGACTAAGGGGACATTTCAGCCCCTTTTTTGTGCAATCCTAAATGATGCCCTGACCAGCAGGGTGTGAGTGGCCTTGGTAGCCCCAGCCCCACCCCCTCCATGGGGCACTCTCATTTGGTGTCACCTCCCCTAACTCCTCAGGTGGGATGACCTCGATTTCTTTAGTGAAGTGAGGTTAGGGTATCTGTAGAGAGAGGTGCGGGTTCTGGGGACTGGGCAGAGAGAGTGCAGGGTTTGAGCAGCTGTGGTGTGGGCTGGGATGGAGAGCCTGGCCCAGCAGTGTGCACTGAGGGCCCTGGTGATGAGTTTCTGTGAATGGGGCATCAGCCCAGGTTGTGTGGTTTGGAGACTTTCTCCAGTAGTGGTCAGGAGCCTAAGAAGAGACCAGTAAACTGGAGTGTGTCCAGAGGGCATGGCCAGGAAAGTGAGAGGTTTAGAAACCCAGCTGTCTGTGGACCATGAAAGGACTGGTCACGTTCCTGAAGAAGGAATGACCCAGGGCCACAGAGAGGGTAGAGATCTGGAGTTAGAGATAGATAGGCACAGGCAGAAGGACAGATAGATGGATCAGAGGTGGTGGGGAGGGACAGAAAGAGGGAGACAGACAGAGACAGAGAGACAGAGACAGAAAGAGAGAGACAGACAGAAACAGACACACAGAGAGACAGAGACAGAAAGAGAGAGAAAGAGACACACACAAAGAGACAGAGACAGAAAAAGAGAGAGAGAGACAGACAGGAGAAAGAGAAAGAGAGAGAGAGACAGGGAGAGACAGAAACAGACAGAGACAGAAAGAGAGAGAAAGAGACACACACACAGAGACAGAGACACACACAAAGAGAGAGAGAGACAGAAAGAGAGAGAGAGAATGAGAGGACGAGGAGAGACAGGGAGAGTGGCTGCGAGTGTAGAAGGGTGTGCACTCTTGGAGCCACTTGCTTCTGCAGACAGTGCGCGAAGCCGCCCCGGGAATACCACCCCAAAAGGGTTGGTGACAGCTGCTGTGGGAGTGCCAGGAAGTGTTCTAGGGCCTAGGTTCAAATCCTGACTCCCATCACTTAACCCAACAGAGGAGGTTGGATTAGCTCACCCGTGAGGGTCCCTGCCAGCTCTGAACCGATGTCCCCACGATCCTATTTGGAAAGGGGCTCCCAGGCAGCAAGAAAGGCCGAGGGAGTTTTTCTCCCAGTTGCAGTGGGGTGAGGGGCCAAAAGGCCTGCAGGTCCCCCCCACCCAGGCTCTCCCCTGAGTGGCAGCCCCTCCCCTCCTTCCCACCTCCCCTCTTGCTCCTTCTGTGGGCACCGCCATCCCAACGGGAGCCCAAGCTCACATCGCTCTGTACTCTGCCACCCTCCCCCTACGCTGCCAAAGGTTGTCAGCCATCGTCGTTTCCATCTCAGTAACAGCTGCATGTTTAGAGAACTGTACGGTTTGCCAAGGGCTTTGCAGATATTGTCTCATGGGATCCTCATGTCAACCTTGTGAGAGAAGTGCTGTTATTATCCCCATTTAACAGTTGAGGAAACTGAGGCTGAGATGTGTTGTGGAGAGACAGCCAGGAGGCTTTGGTAACCGACTGCATAGGAAAGGTGGACAGAGGGAAGACTTGGCTGGGGAGGGCGGGCCGGGGGGGTAGATGGTGGCATTACAGGCAGCAAAAATTAAGTCAGAAGATAGTGGTGGTTTGGAGGGCCGGGTGTGCCAGGTGTGAGATGTGGACCCAGAAGTCAGGGGAGAGGGCAGGACTGAAGAAAGGGCTTTGGGAGTCAGCTGTCCAAGAGCAGCGAGGAAGCCTTGTGCGAACAAGCTCTAGACAGGATAAATGGGAGATAATCGGCATTGGGGTGGCCCTGGCATTTGAGGGGAGCAGGGCAGGATTCTGGTAGAAGGAGGGGATTTAGTTTGGACTTGAAAGAAGTCAGGGAGGGCAGGGGTGAGGAGGGAGGGTTCCAGGCTTGGGAGTGGTGGCCGCAGAGAAGGCCTGGAGCTGAGAGATGGACATAGCTGGGAGGCTGGGGTCATGGAGTCAGGAATAAGGTGTGAGAGGACTGGAAAGGCAAGAAGGGTCGGTTAGAAAGGGCTTTGAGGGCCAAACAGAGCCTTTTGTATTGATCCCGGAGGTGACAGGCAGCCACTGGAGTTTATAGAGTAGGGGAGTGACATGATCAAACCTGTGCTTTAGGAAGATAATTTGACAGTGAGTGGAGGCTGGCCTGGGGACAGATCCCCTCCCCTGCCCAAGCAGTGGTCCAGGGCCAAGGTGAGGAGGGCCTGCCCCAAGGGGAAGGCAAGGTCAGAGGAGAGAAGGGGGCATAATGGGGAGATGCTGCAGAGGTGAAACTGAAACCGACCAGAGGTGCTGCAGAGGTGAAATTGACCAGAGGTGCTGCAGAGGTGAAATCGACTATTGCATATAGGTGGCTGGGGAGGGTGAGGAATCCAGGATGACACCTAGGCTGCAAGCCTTTTCCCCTCACTCTGCTTCCTATAACTAGGGGATGCCATGGAGAGAACTGGGCCTGGAGTCAGGAAGACCTCAGACACCTACTAGCTGTGTGACCCTAGGCAAGACATTTCACCTAGGTCAGCCTCAGTTTCTTCAACCTTAAAATGGGGATAATGATGGTGTCTACATCCTATGGCTGTTAGGAGGAACAAATGAGGTATTTGTAAAGTATCTAGCACAGTAGTTGGCCCATCGTAGGCACTAAGTAAGTCCATGTTTCCTTCCTCCCTTCTTTTTCCCTCTCCCCCTCCCCATCCTCTCTCCCTTCCTTTCTCCCCTCCCCTAAATACAGAAGGCAGGGAGACTTGTGTCATCTCCTCCCCAGGGACAATGCCGTTGTCCTGACCTCTCCCTGTCTGCTTTCTTAGTGAACAGAGATGTTCTCAGGAGTGAATGTGCTGAGATAGGACTTGATGATGGAAAGGATTGTTTTGACCTTGTTCCCCCGGGGTACTGATGTCCCCCCAATCTTTGGTGGGTCCGTGATGGGCCTTGTCTGTCTTCCTCCCCACTCATGCTCTCTCTTTGTTCTACACCTGGATAGTGACTAACCGGTCAGTCACTCAAGAAGCACTTCTTTTTCTTTTTTCTGTTGAAAAAGTAATTTCTTTTTTTTTTTTTTAATTATTTTTAGTTTTCAATATTCACTTCCACAAGTTTTTGAGTTCCAAATTTCTCACCCCTCCCCCCAACCCAAGATGGCATGCATTCTGAATACCCCTTCCCCTGGTCTGCCTTCTCTTCTATCTCTCCCTCCCTTCTCTTATCCCTTCCCCTTCTATTTTCCTGTAGAGCAGGATAGACTTCTGTACCCCATTTCCTGTATTTCTTATTTCCAGTTTGCATGTGAACATTTTTTTTAAACATGTGTTTTTAAAACTTTGAGTTCCCTTTTCTCTTCTCCCTCCCCACACCCTCATTGAAAAGGCAAGCAACTCAATATAGGTTGTACATGTGCAGTTAATGCAAAACACTTCCTTAGTAGACATGTTGTGAAAAACTAACTCTATTTCCCTTAATCCTATCCTGCCCTCCCATTTATTCTATTCTTTCTTTTGACCCTGTCCCTCCTCAGAAGTATTTGCTTCTGATTACCCTCTTTCCCAATCTGCCCTCCTCTCTATCACCCCCTGCTCTCTTGTCCCCTTCTCCCCCTATTTTCCTGTAGGGTAAGACAGATTTCCATACCCAATTGAATGTGTATGTTATTCTCTCCTTAAGCCAAATCCTATGAGAATAAGATTCCCTCATTCCCTCTCACCTTCCCCTGTTTCCCCTCCACTGTGAGAGACTTTTCTTTTCTGTTTTTTTTGTGAGATAATTTACCCCATTCTACCTCTCCCTTTCTTCTCCGAGTATATCCTCTCTCATCCCTTAATTTTATTCTCCAGATATGACCCCTTAATCTTCAACTCACCCTGTGCCCTCTATCTATCTATTATATATACATACATACAATTTTTTTCCTTCAACTACCCTAATACTGACAAAGTTCTCATGAGTTACAAATATCATCTTTCCATGCAGGAATGTAAACAGTTCAATCTTAATAAGTCTCTTATGATTTCTCTTTCCTGTTTACCTCTTCATGTTCCACTGGAGTCCTGTATTTGAAAGTCAAATTTTCTGTTTAGCTCTGGTCTTTTCATCAGGAATGCTTGAAAGTCCTCTATTTCACTGAATGACCATTTTTTCCCCTGAAGGATTATACTCAGTTTTGCTGGGTAGGTGATTCTTGGTTGTAATCCTATCTCCTTTGCCCTCGGAATATTATATTCCATGCCCTGGTCCTTTAATGTAGAAGCTGCTAAATCTTGTGTTATCCTGATTGTGTTTCCACAGTACTTGAATTGTTTCCTTCTGGCAGCTTGTAATATTTTCTCCTTGACCTGGGAACTCTGGAATTTGGCTACAATATTCCTAGGAGTTTTCCTTTGGGGATCTCTTTCAGGAGGAGATCTGTGGATTCTTTCAATTTCTATTTTGCCCTCTGGTTCTACTATATCAGGGCAGTTTTCCTTGATAATTTCTTGAAAGATGATGTCTAGGCTCTTTTTTGATCATGGCTTTCAGAT